CGGATCAATACTTAATAAAAATTATTAATACAAAAACATAAATTCATGTTCTTCATAAAACAACAATAGTATCAAAAGATTCTAAAGTATCCTTGTATTTGGGAGTCATAGTATCTACCCCCCCAAAAAAACAACAAAAAACAAGGAGTGCACCATACACTATTATTGATCTTTTAAAACAATCCGCTCCTGCACTGCTCCCATTCGGCTGTTTATGTACATGGGCCGGACGGGAAGTGGTTAAAGCTTAGAACACACAATGTGAATATCAGACAAATGATTGTCTGTTTTTTTTTGCACGCAAGTCTCATATCAAAAATAAATAGGTTACTAAAGTTGCGAAAATTCTTGTACGAAAGAATACAGCTTTGGAAGTGATATAATGTATTGTATTGTAATGTATTCTTTCATTTCTGAGCATGCAGTCTTGGTCACTTTTTTCCTACAAATACTATACTAATTACACAAAAATCGTTTGTTCTGTTATCCTACGAGAAAAATTTTGTGCTTGTCCCTTCGGATATTTTCGTATGAACTGTTGTGATTGTCTCCTGAAAGCCGTATGCTAATGATCAGATCACTCCGAAAGTCGTATCTTTCACCCGATATTCTCACTGTGTGTACAAGGTTTAAGGGTTTGGATAGAGTAACAGTTAACTGTAATGCTGGCCATACACTTAGTAATCCAATTGTTTGATCTTAATTTCAACTTGGTTTTCTATTAACATTAAAAAAAAAAAAGTAAAAGTATGACTATGAATGGGCGCTTACACTCCCCATAAACACCCCACAGTCAAAATAAAAATGTTGTGCTTTATTAGCAAGCTAAACATAATATGATGTGGCTGTAAAAGATGGAGGGGAAACACCCCATATCCCAAAAAACGTTTAGTTATAAAAACACAAAAGGTGTGTATGAAGAGACACACTCATTGGTGGTATAATTCTCACCTGCGGTGAAGGCTTTCTCATGGAGACTGGATTGTAGGTGGCGCTGTTCTCGCCTGACTATTAATTATCAGTTTTGGAAGGACCTTTGTGTATCTATAAGGGTCAAACTGAGAATGCTAGATCAAAATATTTCTCCCACACCATTGAAAAATATCATAGCAACCCTAGACAACTATTGTACACCATTAACAGATTATTTAAACCTGACTGTCCCTCTACATTACCAGCTTCAACACAGCTCTGTAACACATTCTTAGATTTTTTTCTCCTCAAAAATGGACAAAATAAGAAATTACATTCTTACCACACCACACGCTTCTTCCGCATCATTTTCTGACCCACCCAGCTTTACCATTTTTTTTCTCTCCTGCTTTATTTGACTCTGCATCTCAGCCTGTCACCTGTCCCAGTGCTCACAATAACATGATGAGAGAAAAGCGCCTCTAAGTGCAATAAGTCTTTTTATTCAAGTCTAAATGTAGAAACACTCACATGTGTGAAGTAATCATAAGCTTAAAAACCGTGGTTAACAATAGTTAACGGTGGGGTGGAAACCCGGGTGAAGAGCCATCATCTCTCTGCGATGTGGGGAGGTCAGCTCTCGGCTGGAACAGCGTGGTGGCTGGAGAAGAACAGCGGTGAGGCTGGCGTGCACGTCCTCCCTCAGATCCGGATGGAACGCACGCTGGAACGCAGCGGCAGCGTGGCCGTGATGACGTCAGATCCCAGGGTGCACTGCGATGCGTTTTGGAGCATGCGCTGGCCGTGGAAGGCGGAAGTGCGCCCCTTTTTCAAGCAGGGGGAGGTGGATGAACAGGGGTGAATATATAGGGAACGTGAGTCTAATTGATCAATTAACCAATTAACCAGTGATTGACCGTTGCTGTAAGGTGAATAGTGTAAAGTCATGGATGATAAATGGGGGGATAAAGGAAACCGAATGGAAAAAAGAGAGGATGTAATAAATAAGAAAACCGATATGGAGTAGTAAACGAATAAAATAAACTTATATATAAAATCTATATATAAAATCGAGCGCAGTGTATAGGTGTAAGTACGGTAGCTGCTTGCACAAAAAGGCACCTCGGGAACCTCCAAAGTAATTGATAAAGAATGAGAGTGCAGCGCTAACCCAAATAGCGATTAAACATATGATAGACCACATATGATAGTGGATCAGTAAAATGTCAGTGTAAGTTCATCAGATGTGCTGAAAATGCATACAGTCTCCAATATGTAAAGAACCAAAAGTAGTGACTTTAGAAATGATAATAGCCAAATAATGCACTAACCAGATAGCGCATATTAAAGCGCATGGAGCATTTAAGACCTGCCCCTGGTGCTCAGCCACTGTATCACTGGAGCCAGGAGATGTCATCTATAGGGTGACCACTAGATGTCATCTATCCGATGGAAGCTGAGTCCAGCCACTGTATTAGAGGATCAGGCGGATGTCATCTATAGGGCGACCACTAGATGTCATCCGTTCCAGGAGGAGCTGTGTCATGGATCCAGGGATGTCACTTGCAGATGTGTCCTTTGCTAAGCACAGCCCCAGGACCTTCAGAATTACAGGCTCCCCAGAAATAAAGAGCCCGTGGAAAAAGGCCTCAAATAGTGTGATATCGTTTATTAAAGTAGGTAAATAATCAGAAAAGAACTTACTAACAACGGTTCAGCTGCTCATAAACGGCCAGACCAGAGGTACATGTACACAGGATATAACTAGCTTGGCACTTCCCTAACGCGTATCGTGTGAGTACACATCATCAGAGGGACTGTGCCAGTGGTAAAAGGAGTGTTTTTATACATAAAAAAGCGCCAAAATACACCGCAATGCGGCGGCGCCGTTATTGCCGGTTCGCGCATGCGCAGTAGCGTTTGCGCGTTCGCATTCGCGGCCATTTTTAAGAAGCCAAAACACATTATGGACATACAAGTGTTGGTTCAGCAGTAATCTTAGTGGGAACAAGATACTGCATTCCTAAATCAACACGGAGCAAGTGGATTAGCTGAAATTACACATGGAACATACTTAATGCCCCATTGTAACAAGAACAGCCTGGTGAAACAATATTAAAAAAATATATTAAACTAGAAAATACTAAGGTGCATCGACTTTTTACAGCGATTATAGCACTCCAATAGGAATATACAGATAAAGGCAAAATACATCAAATGCGTCAAACATATAAATTAAAACCACTCTGGTTAAAAAGTAATATCATTAAAAATATTAAATTTTAAAACCAATGTACTAAGATTAAGGTCATCAACTTATTGAAAGCGATTATGTTACTCTAGTATGAATACAAGTAAAGACAAATTACGTCAAACATATAGATTAAAACCAATCTGGTTTAAAAGGTAAAATCATTAGAAATATTAAATTCTAAAAGTAATAATGTACTTCAGATCATAAACGATCGATCAGCTGGTATCGATGAAACAATTAATATCTAATTCTACGTTTAGTCCCTGTGGAACTTGGGACTGTAGAAGATATATCCATTTGGTCTCGAGCATGGAGACCGCGCTCGTTTTTTGTGGATACCCCTCCAGTTACTTTTGATGGTATCGATACCCACAAAACGCAGGGAATGTGGATTCCTATTGTGTCGCTGGCGGTAATGCATAGACAAGGAGTGCTCCTTGTAACCTTTCTTAATATTGACCAGGTGTTCTCTCAATCTGATATGGAGTAGTGAATGGATAAAATAGTGTCGGTAATACAATGAATTAAAAAAATATTAAATAATAATATCTCTACAGAGGTTGCTACAGCTTATTTGGAAGCCTTGCCCTCAGTGCCAAATGGAATCCTACGCTCTTCATACAGTAGCCACTAATACCACGTTCACCCCATACTACTATTTCCCAGGACTTTGCAGTGTTTGCGCTGTTACAACCCTTCCTCATTTTTTCTCACAATAACATGGCCATACACCATACCAATGTCCTGATTACCACCATAAAAGCGCCCTGATCACTGCGATATGCTATACCAGTGTCCTGATCAACGCCATATGCCATAACAGTAGTCTGATCACCGTCATACTACATCCTGCATCCTGACCACCCCATATGCCTTACCAGCGTCCTGATCACCACAACACCCCTTATCAGTGCCCTGATCACCGCCATACCCTATTTCAGTGTCCTGGTCACCACCATACTCCATATCATTGTTCTGATCACCGCCATACCCCATACCACCATTCTGATTACCACCATACCCCATACTAGCATCGTGATCACCACCCTACCAGCATCCTGATCACCCCATAATAGCATCCTGATCACTGCTATACCAGCTTCCTGATCACCGCTATACCTCATGCTAACGTCCTGATCACCGCCATACCCCTATACCAGTGTCCTGATCACTGCCATACATCATACAGCATTTTATGGTCTCAACTGATCAATTTTCAAATATGTATCCCATTGTTTGAAGACTCTATAGCTTTCATGAAGACTGAAAAATACACTGTTTTGGGTTATTTGTATCCCAAAAATGTAACAGAAAACATTTTGGCCAAAATTTAAGAAGAAACATTATTTATTTGCAAAATTTTATAACAAAAACTAAGAAAAAATGATTTTAGTTTTGGTATTTTTTCATTTATATAGCAAAAAATAAAAACCCAGTGGTGATCAAATTCCACCAAAAGAAAGCTCTATCTGTCTCGAAAAATTTTTACAAATTTCATATGGGTACAGTGTTGCCTGATTGAGTAATTGTCACTCAAAGTGTGATACTGAAAAGTGGCCTGGACTGAAAGAGGGTGAAAGTGTCCAGACACTTGCCTACCTGGCACTTTTACCCCGTTCCTTTCCAGGCCAATTTTCAGCTTTCAGTACTGTTGCACTTTGAATAACAATTGCACGGTCATGAAACACTGTACCCAAAAAAAGTTTATAATTTTTTTTGAGACAGATAGAGCTTTCCTTGATGGTATTTAATCAGCACTGGGTTTTTTATTTTTTGGCTAACAAACTAAAAAAGCCTGAAAATTTTGAAAAAAAAAGTTTTTTCTTAGTTTCTGTAATAAAGTTTCTAAATGAGGAATTTTTCTCCTTCACTGATGTGCGCTAATGAGGCTGCACTGATGGGCACTAATAGGCTGCACTGATGGGCACTTATAGGCAGCACTGATAGTCGGCACTGATAGGTGGCACTGATTAGCACTGATAGGTGGTACTGATTGGTGGCACTGATAGACAGCACTGACTAGCACTGATAGTTGGCACTGAAAGGCAGCTCTGATGGGCACTGATATGTGGCATTGATGGGCACTGACAGGTGGCACTGATGGGGCTACACTGATCATCAGGGCACTGATAATCACTGCCCTGGTGATCAGTGTAGATGTCCCCTCTGAGATATGCTGCTTGCCGGCTCTCCTCTCTTCACGTGCTGTCAGCATGAGGAGAGGACTGCCGATAACTGGCATTTCCTATTTGCATGCAATCAGCTGTGATTGGACACAGCTGATCACATGATAGTGCCTTTGTCATCGGCTCTTTACGTCAATCCGTGATCTGCTGTGTCCCAGGGACACAGCGCACCACAAATCACCGTGCTGCGCATCCCTGGGGGTGCGCATGTGCAGCTAGAGTGGGAGGACGTCATATGTTGTCCTCCCAGAACGAGAAAGCCACCACCCTAACGTCATTTCCTTATATGGCGGGCGGGATGCAGTTAAAGTGGTAGTAAAGTCGTATCTTTTGCCTACAGGTAAGCCTATAATAAGGCTTACCTGTAGGTACAGTACATATCTCATAAACATCCCCAGTGCATGCATTCTACGCTCTCAATGGATAATGTGCCGCGGCCAAAGCTCCTGCGCACATGTGCTGGAGTGACATCAACGTGGCTCAGCTAGTTAAATGGCCTAAGCCCACACAACCAGAAGGAAGATGGGTGAAGATTGAAGCCCTGGGGAGCCGAGACAGCTCTCCCCTGAAGGCCTTCATTTTGCAGGTAAGTCTTTCATGCAATGCATACAGGGGCGGACTGACAACTCATGGGGCCCCCCGGGCAATAGGGGATCATGGGTCCCCTGTGTCCTTGCCCAAACTAAAAAAAAACCTATGAAAAAGGTACCAGGGGAATCTCATGGGGCCCCTACTGAACCCGAGCCCTCGGGCAGTGCCCGAGTTTCCAAATGGTCAGTCCGCCCCTGGATGCATAATAGAATATTATGCTCTTAACTTGTAGGGAGATTTTTTTGGTTTTATTTTTGCAGTTTACTACCATTTACAGTGGAAGTAAAGCTTGAAAGAGCCTAACTGACTCTAAACCTACTCTCAGCCGCATTCTAAGCTTAATTTATTTTGACCTGTAAAGAAAAAATCACTATACTTACCTGTTCTGCAGCCACATTGGTCCGGTCCCACGCTGAGCTGTCAGCCATGGCTTTAGAGTGTAGGTGTGTGCAGGAGAGGCAGCTGACATTGGAAGCCCCATAGTATTTCTATGGGTGATGTCACTTCCCAGGCATTTGCCAGCCATTGTCAACTGTCTCTTGCACACAGAGGATGCTCAGGTGGAGCTCATGACAAAGGCTGTTCACATTTCTCTTCACCTGTTGAGCTAGTGGTGTGTGGTGTCTCTCAACCCCTCATACCTCCTTGGATATGTGACATACATATTCCAGGAGGCAGAGCAGGCAAAGTCGATCAACTAGGCGAATGACGTGTGCGGGAAGCAGACCTTTAATTGAAAAAAAAAAAAAACAAAAACATAAACAAAGATAAAAAAAGCCCAATTTGTGCAATGGAGAGAAGGAGGGGGGAATTCAAGGCAACATGTAATTCAGGCTGAAGATCAATTTTAAGGCTTAAGTGTTGGGCACAGGTTAAGAGTTAAAGCATTATTTCAGTTTTAAGTGTTCAGGTGGGTGAAGATTAAGTTAGAGGGTAATGAAAGATTGTGATAATTTTTCAGCCCAGAAAGGCCCTGTTCTATCAGCAGATGGGTTGGGGACTGTGGAAGAAGGGGAGGATCAGAGAAGACAGGATCAAACAGCCTTTTTACACAATGCGGAGGATTAACCCCTGAGGTTCCACAGTGAGTGTGACATTTTACAGCTGTGTGTTTAGTAACACTTTAACTGAACAAGCTGAAGTTAGAAGCTGATTGGCTACCAAGCACAGCTGCACCAGATTTTGACTCTCCAGTTTTAGTAAATCAGCCTATATGTATTGCTTGTGTTTATACCTATACAAGGAGGCACATATATTTGCTCATTACATTTAAAGGCTCTGATCCTGCGTTGCAGTGCTACACAAAGGTTATGCTACACTGCTTCTACTCAAAATCTAACGCTTATTAATTATCTGACTCATTAAAAACAATGTTCTCCCTGTTTGGCTTTTATTTTATCTTAAGAGTTACACAAATAATTTGTGATCTGGTACACAGGGTGATGTCTCTATTTGAGAAGTGATCTTAAAGCGAGTGTGAAAGAGGACCTAGTTGATGGAGAATGTGATGACGCTGAAGCACTATGGATGGAACTGCACATGGGTATGTGTACTACAAAGGTAATCATTGGAGTTTGTTATAGGCCACCCAGTGTTCATGAGCAGGTGGAGACTCGGCTCCTTGCACAGATGGAAAGGGTTGCAAGGGCTGAGACGGTGATAATAATGGTGGATTTTAACTACCCTGATATTAAATGGAGAATTGGCACTGTTGGAACAGTTAAAGGACAAAAATGTAAAACGTATTACAAGACAATTTTATTATTCAATTCACAGTGGCCCCGACTAGGAACAATGCTCTGCTGGGCCTGGTAATCTCAAACCAAACGGAGCTTATTATTAACTTTCATATAAAAGAACATCTGGGTAGCAGTGACCATAACATGATTTAATTTAATGTTAGCTGTAAACAACACACATACGGGAAAGATAAAAACACTCAACTTTAAGAGAGATAATTTTCCAAGGATGAGCGCTGCTCTCCAAGACTTAGATTGCGAGGGAATATTGGCATCAATGAACACAGAACAGAGATGAGAGTTCTTCAAAAGCCTGTATGCAAACACACTGCAAAAGACATTGCTCAAAAAAATTAAAGAAACACTTTGAAAACACATCAGATCTCAATGGGGAAACATATCATGCTGGATATCTATACTTATATGGAGTGGTTAATGTGTTTGGAATGTAAGGATGCCTCACTGTTTGATGGAAATAAAAATTATCAACCTACAGAGGACTGAATGCAGACACCCTGAAAAGCAAAGTGAAAAAAAATGATGCAGCAGGCTAGTCCATTTTGCTGAAATTTCATTGCAGCAACTCAAAATGGTACTCAATAGTTTGTGCCCCACGTGCTTGTATGCATGTCTGACAATGTCGGGGCATGCTCCTAATGAGACGACAGATGGTGTCCTGGGGTATTTCCTCCCAGATCTGGACCAGGGTATCACTGAGCTCCTGGACAGACTGAAGTGCAACCTGGTGGCGTCGGATGGACCGAAACATGATATCCCAGAGACGTTCTATTGGATTTCGGTCAGGTGAGCGTGGGGGCCATTCAATGGTATCAATTCCTTTATCCTCCAGGAACTGCCTGCATACTCTCGCCACATGAGGCTGGGCATTGTTGTGCACCAGGAGCAACCCAGAACAAAGCGTAGGGTCTGACAATAGGTCCAAGGATTTCATCCCGATACCTAATGGCAGTCCGGGTGCCCTTGTCTAGCTTGTAGAGGTCTGGGCGTCCCTCCATGGATATGCCTCCCTAGACCATCACTGACCTACCACCAAAACAGTCATGCTGAAAGATGTTACAGACAGCATAACATTCTCCACGGCTTCTCCAGACCCTTTCACTTCTGTCAAATGTGCTCAGGGTATACCTGCTCTCATCTGTGAAAATCACAGGGCGCCAGTGGCGGACCTGCCAATTCTGGTGTTCAATGGCAAATGCCAATCAAGTTCTATGGTGCCGGGCAGTGAGCACAGGGACCACTAGAGGACATCGTGCCCTCAAGCCACCCTCATGATGTCTGTTTCTGATTGTTTGGTCAGAGACATTCACACCAGTGGCCTGCTGGAGTTAATTTTGTAGGGCTTTGGCAGTTCTCATCCTGTTCCTCCTTGCATAAAGGAGCAGATACTGATCCTGCTGATGGGTTAAGGACCTTCTATGGCCCTGTCCAGTTCTCCTAGAGTAACTGCCTGTCTCCTGGTATCTTCTCCATGCTCTTGACACTGTGCTGGGAGACACAGCAAACCTTCTGGAAATGGCACGTATTGATGTGCCATCCTGGAGGAGTTGGAATGCCTGCGCAACCTCTGTAGGGTCCAGATATCGCCTCATGCTACCAGCAGTTACACTGACCCTAGCCAAATGGAAAACAAGTGAAAAAAGGTCAGAACAGATGAGTAGGGAAAAAAAGGTCAGTGGCCTCCACCTGTGAAGCCATTCCTGTTTTGGGAATTGCCTCATTGTTACCCATCTAGTGCACCTGTTGTTAATTTCATTAACACCAAAGCAGCTGAAACTGATTAACAACCCCCTCTGCTACTTACCTGACCAGATCAATATCCCAGGAGTTTAATTGACTTGATGCTATACTCTGATTAAAAAGCGTTCCTTTATTTTTTTGAGCAGTGTATATTCCTATGGGCAACACGTTTAAAAGGCAAACATTAAAACCAATGTGGCTTACTGCCAAAGTTAAAAAAAGCTTTAAATAATGAGAAAAGAGCTTTTTTATAAAATATAAAAATGAAGGAATGCTATCATGGTTTAAATGTGACAAATCATACAACAGAATATGCAAAAAATTTAAAACAAGTGACAGATTGCAAAATATAGCAAGACAAACCCCCAAAGATTCTTCAGTTTACTGTATTAATAGTAAAAAGGTCTGGTCCGAGCATGTAGGCCTTTACAAAATAATCTAGAGTGGGTGACTGGGGACAAAAAGAAGGCAAATTTATTAAAAACCTTCTTCAGCTCTGTGTATACAAAGGAGCATGGGGGAGCTCATGTCCATTATAAGGATAATATTGACACAGCCCCAAATAATCCACAATGGCTGAAGAATGATATGGTCCAGAAATATTTAGACAGAATAAAGGTGAATAAAGCACCTGGACCAGAAGGCATAAACCCACGTGTCCTTAAAGAATTGAGCTCTGTCATTTCAAAGCCGTTGTTTCTAATTTTTAGGGACTATTTAATGACTGGCATAGTACCACTGGATTGGCCTAGTGATAATGTGGTGTCTATATTTTAAAAGCGATCAAAATCTTTACCAAGTAATTATAGATCTGTTAGTTTAACTTCTATAGTTGGGACGATACTGGAGAGTTTAATAAAAGACCACATAGATGAGATCTTGCTGGAAAAAAATATTTTAAGTGACAGCATGGATTCATGAAAGACAGAAGTTGTCAAACAAATCTGATTTCTTTTTATGAGGAGATAAGCAAGACCTTGGACAGAGGGGTGGCAGTGAACGTGCTATACTTGAATTTTGAAAGTGTTTTAACATAGTTTCCCACACACTCCTAATGTGTAAGGTAAAGTCTATG